AACATCTACATCTACAATTTTTGTTTGCAATAATTTTAGAAGTACATGTACATCTAGATGATCCATCTAGATGATGTGTTTGATTGCACTAAAACTAACATCATCTGTCGATGTATAAACGAACAACACCTAACTGAATCAAGTACCGAACAAAACTTACCCCAAATGTTGTTTCTGCATATAACTCGTAACGTTTAACCTTTGGATTTATATATTTCTGGAAATTTTAGCAAGCTTAAGTATTCTCTGCTCACTTTTTCATTAAAATCACGAATTAAGTAATTATTTAAGACAAATCCATTTCATGTATATCAACTTCAATATACTAGTACACTAATAAGTTCGTGTACTTTTATATCTCTTTCCGTAACCAAATGAACAAACAGATGTAACAATATGAAAAAAAGCCCACGTTTTATTACATCTCGACCTACCTTCGTATCTCAAAACGCACGTTTAGGACTCAGAGTGGCCTTTTCGTAAAAACAATACTTTCCGTCACATTATTCATTTTCCCTCCTATATATTGCTCTGTTTCGTTTCCTTCTTTTAACAAGAACCAAAACAAAAATGGCGACTTCTCTCCAATCTCTAAACCCTACATTGTTCAAATCATTACCTTCCTCAAACAAAAACTCTTCCTTTCTCTCCCAATCTCCTTTCCTTCGACTCAACTCCGCCTCCTCTGCTCTCAACCTCAAACCCTTGATTTCCTCTTCCTCCTCCAACACACGCGCCGCCGCCGCAACATCATCCTCCGAACTAGACGAATCTCAAGCAAGGAAAACCTTCCACGGTCTCTGCTACGTCGTCAACGACAACATCGACACCGATCAAATCATCCCGGCAGAGTACGGTACACTAAACCCGGCGATTCCGGAAGATCGAGAGAAACTCGGTTCGTTCGCTTTAATCGGTTTACCAAGTTTCTACAACGATCGTTTCGTCGATCCATCACCATCAGAGATGAAATCAAAGTACACAGTCATAATAGGCGGCGATAACTTCGGATGCGGATCGTCACGTGAACACGCTCCGGTCTGCCTCGGTGCGGCCGGAGCAAAAGCCGTGGTTGCGGAATCTTACGCGAGGATCTTTTTCAGGAACTGTGTAGCTACCGGAGAGATTTTTCCGTTGGAATCTGAAGTTAGGATTTGCGAGGAGTGTAAAACAGGGGATGTGGTTACTATAGAGCCTAAGGAAGATGGTAGTAGTTTGCTTATTAATCATACGACGAGGAAAGAATACAAACTGAAACCGCTCGGTGACGCTGGTCCAGTCATCGACGCCGGTGGAATCTTTGCTTATGCAAGAAAAGCCGGCATGATTTCTACTTCTTCTACTTTTTGAGTTAGGTCCGGTTTGGTTTGATAACCGGTAATAAACAAAGAGATTGTAACCAATCATTAAACCGAAATTTTAATTTTCTTCTGGTTTGACTATGTATGAATGTATGCCACGTGGATGTAGCGGTGTGAAGCACAAAAGGGTGTGCATTTTTCTTATTAGACGCTTCGTTTCCTTTGTCTTTTTATTACTTTACTTTTACGTTGGATGTTTCAGCTTCTCAGATGCATTTGCATGTCCTCTCTCGAACTCAAAATTTGTAGTTTTTTTATTCTGCCTTCGTGTTTGTAGCAAGGTTAGTGTCAAAGATTTCTCATATCTTTCTCTTGTAATCTTGTTTCTTTGTTTTTTTCCCTTTAGTATTGTCGGACCTTTTATTTATTTAAGTAAAGTGTTATTATCTCCAATCTGAAACTAGTTACCGAATAATCATAATGTCTATCTCTTTGTTTGTAGATTTTTGCAGTGGCTGATATATAGTATGTATATTGATATTGTGGTTTGAAATCTCCATTGCAGTTAATTGAGTTTTTCTTCTTCTAGGATTTGGTAAGAGGATGGATAGGCTTAGCAATCTACCAAATGAGATTATTTGTCACATTATGTCCTTTCTCTCTGCAAAGGAAGCTGCTTTCACAACGGTTCTCTCAAAGAGGTTTTTTAATCTCTTCAACATCATACCTAATCTTGAGTTTGATGAAAGGGCTAATATTCAAGGGAGTTTTACAGATTTTTTAGATGGAGTTTTGGCTTTTCCGGCCAGTTCTCGCATCAGAAAATTCTCTCTAAAATGTTGCAATCGCGTTGAGCTAGCTCAGTATGATCATGTCAACCGTTGTCTATGTGCTGTCCTGAAGCATGGTGTCATGGATCTTGAACTATACATGCATGTTGGGAATCGATACTTACTTCCCTTTGAGGTTTTCACTTGCAAGACAACGTTTTGCTGTTGTTGTTCTCCCTGAGAATGCTTCTCTACCAGCACTTGAGACCCTCATTATTGACTCAGTTCGATTCAAAGATCGTTATGGTTGTGCGTTTGAAAAGCTTCTTTCTGCTTGCCATGTGCTTAAGGAATTAATCTTAGACGGTATGGAATGGAAAAGTTGGAAGTGGTCTGGCAACATTTCCAGTCCAACCCTTCAAAGACTCACTATTCACTCTGGAGATATCCTTGAGTCTAGTTTTACGGGAATAACTTTAAATACTCCAAGTCTTGCCTATTTTAAGTGCTCTGATGTTTTTCCGGATGAGTGTCCAGTTGTTAACCTCGACTCCCTTGTCGAAGCTGAGTTGGATCTTATGTTGACCGTAGATCACACCCGCGATGGATATGTAAGTGAGGACGATGATATTTCTAGCAATCCAACAAATCTGATCAAGGGGTTAAGAAATGTTCATATCATGAAATTATCAACTTTTGAGACTTTCCAGGTTAGTGTGATATTGTTTATTTGTTCTCTGTAACATGTTATTACAATCTGAGTTTAAAAACAAAGATGAAGATGATAATCATTGAGATGTCATAGTTTCGCTTCCTGAGGTATAAGAATCAATCTTAAGTTCTGTAGAATGTTCCAATTGTCTGGTATATAGGAATGTTTCTTAGAAGTTTTTATCCAAATAGTGCAATAAGTTGACTTGTGGTTGTTTTATTTTGTTTCAGGCAGTTTATTACCTCCATGAAGCAATCCCGGTGTTTGAAAACCTATATCTTTTAACTATTACACCTTGTGATATGTGGGGAATTTCTACCATTTTTGCTAAAGAAGACTCCAAATCTAGAGACTGATCTTATCATCAATGTATGACCAAAACCTCAAAAGTTCATTTGGAAAAATGCAAAACCTTTGTAGATACTCCTTGATTTTCGCTTTCTAATTGTCTCTCTTGCTTCAGGGTCCATTGCACTACGATGAAGAAACTCCTGAATCTGTTTGCAATGCATGTCGGGATATTCTTTTTTATTGTCATGTCCTTTGGAAGTCCTACTTATAACCGAATACCATGGAACTCCTGGAGAGGTGGAGCAGTTAAAGCATTTTTTAGGGAAGCTGCCAAGTCTTAAGATCGTGAAACTTCATTCTCGGACAATACCTTACAGCAACGAGAAAAAGTTAGTGCTTCCTAGAGTTCCATCCAAGTGCAAGATTACGGTCACATTTTCTTAAAAACTACCAACTCACGGATGAAGAACAAACTTTGGTCCTTTTAGTTGCATCTATCTGCTGTAATATGAATCGGATTGTGAACACTTTTGCTCACTTATATCCCTAGTTATCTTTTTTTGTTGGATTCTCTTTGTTGTCTTGGTTGGTGCTTATTAGCATTACATCAGTTTTGGCAAAAGGATCCGATTTCCGAGGAGTAAAAGGGGGGTAGTTTTTTCTAGGGTTTGGCAAGAGGATGGATAGGATTAGCAATCTACCAAATGAGATTATTTGCCACATTGTGTCCTTTCTCTCTGCAAAGGAAGCTGCTCTCACAACGGTTCTCTCAAAGAGGTTTTTGAATCTCTTCAACATCATACCAAATCTTGAGTTTGATGAAATGGATAATATTCAAGGGAGTTTTACTGATTTCTTGGATGGAGTTTTGGCTTTGCCTGCCAGTTCTCGCATCAGAAATTTCTCTCTTAAAATTTTCAATTGCGTTGAGGTAGCTCAGTATGCTCATGTCAACCGTTGTCTATGTGCTGTCCTGAAGCATGGTGTGTTATATCTTGAACTAGACATGCATGTTGAGAAACGATATTCGCTTCCCTTTGAGCTTTTCACTTGCAAGACAGTCGTGAAGCTGAAGCTGGAGAGTGCTGGGTATGGTTTTGTTGTTGATGCTCTCCCTCAGAATGCTTCTCTACCAGCACTTGAGACCCTCATTCTCGAATACATTCGATTCAAAGATCGTTGTGGTTGTGCGTTTGAAAAGCTTCTTTCTGCTTGCCATGTGCTCAAGGAATTAACCATAGATAGTATGGAATGGAAACGTTGGAAATGGTCTGGCAACATTTCCTGTCCAACCCTTCAAAGACTCACTATTCGTCATGGAGATGTAATGGAGTCTGATTTTACGGGAATAACTTTAGATACACCAAGTCTTACCTATTTCAATTGCTCTGATCTTGTTCCGGATGAATATCCAGTTGTTAACCTTGACTCCCTTGTCAACAGTCGATCACAACTACGAAGGATATGTACGTGACAACGATAATATTACCAGCAATCCAACAAATCTGATCAAGGGGTCTAGAAATGTTGAGATCATGAACTTAACAAGTCCTGATACTTTCCAGGTAAGTGTGATATTGTTCCTTCTTTCTCTGTAACATGTTATTACAAATTGAATTTTTTTTGTTTTTAAATGAAGAGGACAGTCATTAATCATTGAGATGTCATAGTTTCGCTTCATGAGGTATAAGAAACATGTTTCTTAGAAGTTTTTATCCAAATAGTACAATAAGTTGAAGTGTGGTTGTTTTATTTTGTTTCAGGCATTTTATTACTTCCATGAAGCAATCCCAGTGTTTGAAAACCTATATCATTTAACTATTTCACCTAATGATGGGACTTGTTGGAAATTTCTACCATTTTTGCTAAAGAAGACTCCAAATCTAGAGACGCTTATCATCAATGTATGACCAAAACCTCAAAAGTTCATTGGATAAATGCAAAACCTTGATTTTCACTTAATAATTGTCTCTCTTGTTCAGGGTCCATTGCACTACGATGAAGAAAAACCTGAATCTGTTTGCAAGTGCATGTCGAGATATTCTTTTCTACTGTCATGTCCTTTGGAAGTCCTACGGATAAACGAATACCATGGAACTACTGGAGAAGTGGAGCTATTAAAGCATTTTTTAGGGAAGCTGCCATGTCTTAAGTCGGTGAAACTTCGTTCTTGGGAAAGAAGACCTTACAGCAACGAGAAAACTTTACTGCTTCCGATAGCTCCACCCAAGTGCAAGATTAAGATCACGTTTTATTAACAACTACCAACTCACGAGTGAAGAACAATCTTTGGTCCTCCTAGTTGCATTTGTCTGCTATATCATGATTCGGATTGTTAACACTTTTGCTCACTTATATCCCTAGTTACTCTGTTTATCTTTTTTTGTTGGATTCTCTTTGTTGTCTCGGTTTGAACTTGTCTTCTTTCTAGGATCTGTTTTGATTTTAATTTTCGTCAGTACTTTGCTTTAGTGGATTCTCTAGTCTCTCTTAACTAATCGTATGATCTTTACTCGATGTGCTAAAGATTTTCAAATCAAAATATGGATTACTTTGGAGAACAACAAAAGCAGGGCATTATAGGCACAAATAAATTTGATAACCGGTATTAACCAAGTAAATTATCACTAATCCTGATAGTGTAATTTATCATCTTAAATGTGCCACGTGGAAGCACTACAATATCTTACTGGACTCTACTTATCCTTCTCTTATCACCTTTACTTTGGATGTTTCGGTTTCTCAGATGCATTTGCATGTTCTCTCTCAAACTCTAAAGTTTGTGGTTTATTCTTCCGACTTCGCGTCTGTTGCAAGGTTCGTCTATATGTCTTAGTATTTTGTTACGGTTTAACGTTTAAATCGAGTGTATCAATCTCTACTTTGAAAGTTGAAACTCTTGTTCTTGTTTGTATATTGTTTGCAGTTGGTGATAGTATGTTCGTTGAAATTGTGGTTTGGAATCTCCATTGCAATTAACTGAGTTTTTCCGAGGAGTATCTTCTAGGGTTTGGGAAGAGAATGGATAGGATTAGCGATCTACCAAATGAGATTATTTGCCACATTGTGTCTTTCCTCTCTGCAAAGGAGGCTGCTTTCACAACGGTTCTCTCAAAGAGGTTTATCAATCTCTTCAACGTCATACCAAATCTTGAGTTTGATGGGTCACTAGAGAGTCTCAAAGATTTCGTGGACGGAGTATTGGCTCTCCCGGCTAGTACCCGCATAATGAGATTCTCTCTAAAATGTGAAGATGATGATGTTGATCAAACTCACTATGCTCATATCAACCGTTGTCTATGTGATGTACTGAATCGTGGTGTCTTGGATCTTGAACTAGATATATATGGTGATAAAGGATACTCGCTTCCCTTTGAGGTTTTCACTTGCAAGACAGTCGTTAAGCTGAAACTCGGGTGCGGTTTTGTTATCAATGTTCTTCCTAAGGATGCTTCTCTACCAGCGCTTGAGACACTCTTTCTTGACTACGTTCGGTTCAAAGATCTCTACGGTTGTGCGTTTGAAAAGCTTCTTTCTGCTTGCCATGTGCTTCGGGAATTAACTATAAACGATATGGAATGGGAACGTTGGAAATGGTCGGGCAATGTGTCTAGTCCAACACTTCAAAGACTTACTATGCATCGTGGAGATTTCTATCCGTTTAATGTTACAAGAATAACTTTAAACACTCCAAGTCTTACCTACTTTGAGTGCCTTGATGTTGTTCCGGAGGAGTTTCCAATAGTTAATCTTGACTCCCTTGTCGAAGCTAAGCTCGATCTTATGTTGACGGTCAATCACAACTACGATGGATTCGTAGGTGATTACAATAATCTTACTAGCAATCCAACAAATCTGATCAAGGGATTAAGAAATGTTCAAATCATGAACTTAACAACTCCTACTACTTTCCAGGTAAGTGTGCTATTGAACTTAACAACAAATCTGATTAAGGTGTGATAATTGTTGGTTACATGTATGTGAATGTTGCTTATTATTTCTAATCCAAACATTGCCATTTGATTTATTTTTCAGGCGTTTTATTACTTCAATGAAGCACTCCCCGTGTTTGAAAAACTACATCATTTAACTATTACACCTAATGATGAGGCGTTTTGTTGGCAATTTCTACCGTTTTTGCTATACAAGGCTCCAAATCTAGAGACTCTTACCATCGATGTATGACCAAAACCATAAAAGTTTATTGCACAAATGCAAAAACATTCTAAATACTTCTATATTTCCGATTTCTAATCGTCCTTTTCTTGCTTCAGGGTCCATTGCACTTCGATGTAACAAAACCTCAATCTGTTTGCAAGTGCTTGTTTGGATATTCATTCCTATTGTCATGTCCTCTAAAGGTCTTACAGTTAACCGACTATGGCGGAACTATTGCAGAAGTGGAACAATTAAATCATTACTTAAGGAAACTGTCATGTCTTGAGTTGGTGAAACTTCATTACTTGGGAAGCGCTGGCACCGTTAGGAAACCGTCGTTAATGCTTCCCATAGCTCCGTCTAAGTGCAAGATCGAGGTCACATTTTCTTAAAAAAAACTACCAAACTTTGGTCCTCTTAGTTGCATCTGTCTGTTGTAACATGAAATCGGATTGTGAAAACTCTTGCTCACTTATATCCCTTGTTACTACTCTGTTTATCTTTTTGTTGGATTCTCTTTGTTTGAATTTTTCTTCTTTCTAGGATCTCTTTTGATTTGATCATCAGTAATTTGCTTTGATGGATTCTTTGGTCTGTTTATAACATATCGTATGATCTTTTACTTGACATGCCAAAGTTAACCTTGAAAATGTAATCTACCCTTATACATTATATGGGAAGTGATTCTTCCAAAAAAACTTATGTGTAATTCTCTAAAATCAATCTTCCAAAATTCATTGTGACATGCCATTCTCTAAAGTGTGACATGGCAAAATTTATCAAAAATTAATTCCACTAATTTAGTTCTCTAAAACTTATACCCACTAAAATTAATCTCACAAAACTACTTAAATTTAGCTCATTAACTAAAAAATGTACACCAATCAATATTTGTTTGTCGTGAGTGTATTTTTATTGTAATTAGCCACATTTATATCAATTGAATCGGTTTTGAAATTTGTTTGCCGTGGGTGTATATATATCAAAAATTTTAATGTGACTCGCCCAATTTTGTAATTTGTTTGTCGTGAGTGTATTTTGATTGTAATTAGCCACATTTATATCAATTGAACCGGTTTTTAAAATTTGTTTGTTGTGGGTGTATTTACATCAATTTTTTTTATTTTATTTAAAGTATTAGGCTATTACGAACTCAAACGATTACAACGTTTAGGGGATAATAAAATTTTAAAAATAAAATTTTATCTCTAGCCTTTTAACGAATCATACTAAGAAGCATTTGATTAATTTTGGTTGGGTGGCTGGGAGCGTTCTTTTACCGGTGCTTAAAACTCTCGTTCTTGACACTGTTTGGCTTGATAAGTTTGATATTTTTCTTCGTGCTTTGCCTGCGCTTGAGGAATTAGTTCTGGTTGATATAAACTGGCAAGACACGGATGTGACTATTTCAAGTGCAAGCCTCAAGACCCTAACAATAAAGATCGACGATTGTATAAGCACTTTATCATTTGATACGCCGAGCCTCGTTTATTTTGAGTACTATGGCTATATTGCGTCGGACTATCCAGTAGTTAATATGAAAAACTTGGTAGATGCTCGAATCATCTTCTCATTAACTGACGAGGACCTTGAGCGAGCTAGAGAACCAAACAATGATTGGTTAGAGGATGATGAGGACGCAGTTGCTCTCGGATTTAGTAATGTGTGGAAACTCTTTCATGGCTTACGAAATGTTCCAAATCTTTACTTGTGTCCTGATACCCTTGAGGTCAGTTTTTTTCTCTCTCTTGTAATATCTTTATTCAGCTGGTCTCGAGGAAATAAAAGAACAGAAGCCGGGACTTCTTTCCAATTCTTGGAGCACACTGGTCATGTTTGTTCGGTCCTATTTTTAACCAACAAGCGAAGGTCTAGTTTTGAAACATGTAATTCCAAAATGTCTTGTTTTCAGGTGCTTTCTCTATGCTGTGAATCGATGCGAGTGTTCAACAACCTCAAATCATTAGAAATTAAGAGTGACAAGGATCGAGGATGGCAAGCAATGCCAGTTTTTCTAAGGAACTGTCCACATTTAGAAAAGCTAGCCATTGAGGTATAAAAACAACTCATTTGTCTAACATGTTCAAAGATAGAGTTCATACTCTGAATCTCTTATTGTTTCCTTTATGCTTTCAGGGTCTCGTGCACCATGTGACCGATAAATGCGGAGATGCTTGCGACTGTATTCCTCGGGAGGAGAAACGCATGTCACTCGCATCTTGTCCAGTAAAAATGTTAGAGATTCAATTGTTTCGAGGAACAATGAAAGAGATGCAGATGATAAAGCATTTCTTGGATTATTTTCCTTGTTTGAAGGAGATGGAGATCTTCGTTGAAGAAGATCAGCTCAGAAACCCTGAAATTTGTGATCTTATCGAGGAGATGTTCGAACTATACATCAAGTTATCAAATTGCAAAGTCCAGCTTCTGATAAGTGATTATTTGGATAAGAAGTGGACTGAACAAGGAAGTTTCTAAAGAAGAAAATTTTCTCATAGTTTTGCCAAAACTCCTCCATCAAATTTGAC